TCTCTCTCTCTCTCTCTCTCTCTCTCTCTCTCTCTCTCTCTCTCTCTGCCACACAGGCAAAAATGAAAATCAAAACAAACTAAAAAAAAAAATCTAATGGGACAAAGAATACCAACCCCAAACAAAAAGTCCACATAAAAACCTGAAAATCATTTTTTGTTGGTATAGGGTCTGACCTTTAGGATAGAGAAAACAGATTTTTCCCTCTCCTCGAAGTTACCAGCTGCAGTAGCTTCCTGGTTAGGAGTAGGAGGTTGTATTCACTTCCTGTTCTGCCTGTTGGGATTTTTAACTGTGGCCTCATCTCATTTACTTGGTTATTTGTTTACATAACCTTTAAATTTGTCTTCCTCCATTACAGCATAGCATTCATAAACCTAAGCTGTCATATATTCTAAATAAAAACCTCGGAGGAGCCACCAAATACGCTGTCAGCGCTGTTTTCCAAGTAGATCTAGTAACTTGGAATTTTACACACTGTAGACAAAATCTGAGTTGTGGCTAGAAAAGTAAGCCATAAGACCAATACAGATACATACAAAATAAAACCAGTCTTAATGATTTTACTAACACAGGCTTTTGTTTCAAACTACTGTTTTGTTAACATGATCAGAATTCTAGTATTAGCACACAAAGCTAGGGCATAGCAGGGTCAGACTAGAAGTACTAGGGAAAAGATAAAATATGTGTCAAGTTTCATCATAATTATTGTCCTTTTTAGCAGGAGAGATATGCAGGAATAAGAGAATAGTCTTGGGAGAGCAGGAGAGCGTCAGCTTTTAAGGTAGGAAGAATACAGAAAAGACAGGGTGGGTGTTCATACTCTTGTTATATCACAGTTTTCAGTTGACTTGTGACTATCCAGCAATGAGATAGAAGAAATAAAACTCATGGATGAATATGTTTTACTTAAAATTAATGTCATACTGTGTCATTGTAATTTGCATTTTATTTGATTCCTTATTTTTTAAAAAAATATGTACCTTATTTTCTAGTTGTTTACATTGTTTCTGTAACAAAATCTATGTTTTTCTTTTTCTATTTTCATGCATGTATGATGCATTCACTAGTCTTATGGAAACTAGACAGAAGCTAGAATTGTCAGTGAGGAGGGGACCTCAATTGAGAAAATGTCTCCATAAAGTCAGGCTATAAACAAGCGTGGCGGGCATTTTCTTAGTTAGCCATACATGAGGAAGAGCCAAGACCATTGTAGGTAGTGCCACCTCTGGGCCTGGGTTCTATAAGAAAGAAGGCTGAGTGAGCTAGGAAGCAACAACATGGCTCTCATTCTTCTCTCACCCTACCTTCTCTCACTGAGGCAGCACTTTTCACTGATACCAGAGCTTGCAGATTCGTCTTTCTCATCAGCTTGCTCTGGGATCTCCTGTCTCTGCCTTTTGGGTTGGTCTCCATAGCCACTCGGCATTGACATAGATTATAGGGATGTAGTTCTTATGGTTTGACTGTGTTTTAACCAAAGAGTCATCTTCCCTGCCCATACTTTCTTATTTTCAAACTTTATTTGATAATGTAAAACAGAATAAATGTTACTGGGCTTACAGAGCCTCTCCTGTTTAAATGTTTGGAATTTGTGTAATTTAGTTTAAAAGCACAACCGTTTTGTTGATCCTACCAGAATCTGTCTCACCTCCATCAGCTTGTAATTGTTGAGAACATTCCATTTCCAGGCTGTGAAAACTTGCCATCTGACTGAGACAGACTGAGTTCTGTGCTCTGACATGTCTGTGTCACACATAATCCTCACTTTGAGCCTTGACCAACAAGACACTGCCTTCTCCCAGCATGCTGTTCATCTCCACCACACCTATGGAGATCTGACATTTTAGCTTTCTATGAATTTGTTGTGGGCATGGAAGTCTCCCTGTTTCTCAGGGTTGGCCTTCTGAGTAGGTGCGTGCCACTGTACTTGGTTTGAACTTAGTCTAAAGAAATGTTCAGCAGCATTTGGGTCAACGGAACATTCTTGACCTCTTGAAATTTCTCTTCAATCTCCTGAGTTTCTTCAGTGTTTCCCTCATTGTCTGTTTGGTCAGACTCTTCTCTGTTTTTGAACTCTAGGTCATAGGCTACCATAAGGCTTAATATCTGTGTTTCCTCTTTATCAACGTACAGTGACCCTAGCCAAGAAAAGATTAAAATATCATTTATATACTAGTTATTCCTCAGAGCAATAGACTGCCAGTCCTCAATCTTCTAGAAATAAAGAAGCCTGGAGATGTATCTTAGTTTCTTAACAGGTTGCCTAGCATGCTCAATGCCCTGGTTTGATTCCAAGTACAACAAAAGCAGTGTGTGGTGGTGAATGCTTGTACACCCCTGCACTTCGGTGGAAGAAGGGAGATCAGGAGTTCAGGCCAGTTGGTATACAAGCTCTTGTCTTAAACAACAGCATCAACAACAAGAAGAACATACAACAGCAGCAGTAACAACACAACAAACAGTAGCAAGAAATAAAGAAGACTTATAAAGCTTAACATCCAGAACAGAATTCTTGACTTCTATATGTTATTCACCCAGTGTGTTAGGTCTTAAAGGTCTAGGATTATCTTTAATTTCTTTTCAGTAGCCCACATCTCATTCACTATTCAATTCTGTATTTCTTCCATTTGATATAAAGGTCCAGTTCTCATCAGTTCCAAAAAAAGGCATCCTTGTTGCCACCTGATTAGACCAACTCAACTCTGCTACTGTCTTCTTCTGGTGTTTTTCCTTCATGTCTGTTCTCTCCACACTAGACCAAGAGGCTTTTAATACAAGATAATTCTTGATATATCCACTCCATTGAAAATATTTTGGGGTTCTCCCTGTACTTAAGCTAAAATACTCAAGCTCATAGCTACTCCAAAAGCCTTCAGTTCATGTGCAAGCTAAAGATCAATCGATGTCACGGAATTGATTTGACTAATTTGTGATTATAAGGTTGTCACTTCTGTCTTAAAATAGTAAAAATTAAAATAAAAAATTATTCACCCAAAGTTTCTGAGTTTGTCTAAAACTCCATTTCATTTCCTTGTCTATTTTTATAAAGTGGTGTCGAGACTACTTCACTACAGACAATAAGCCAACTATTGAAAAGCAAAAATATTCGTTGGGAGAACAGTGGTTCTTTCTTAACACAGAGCAAAGTTTCAAAGGAATTTGAATCTGTTGAAGCATTATTGAATCTTGTTTAGCAAGACACAGTGCCAGCAAAACAGAAGATCTATTTTCAATAATTCTATTCATACCTCAAAACCCTGTGGCCTTCCGAGACTCTCCTTAACATGTTTCCATACAACAAAAATCTCTGACACCGACACACTGGTCGCTGTGACATCAGTGGGAGCAGCAGTAGGTTCTGTAGGAAGAGAAATAGAAGTGATAAGGCATGATCACCTCACAGTTTCTCTGCAAAGCACTGCTCCATTGTCTCTCAGCTGTTCATGCCATTCTGACCCTATGTTTGAATGATGTGAAGTTAAGAAAAAACACAAGGTAAGAAGGTGAGCTGTTTGGGTTTCTGGGTCAATTTACATTTCAGTCTTACCAATAGCCAGTGACAATTGAGAAATTTGAGTCTTTTATCCTTGGGTCAGGGAGGGCATTGCTAGAAAAGTGAATGCTCTGACTTAAGTTGGGTGGCAATCCACTCTATCAACAAAGACAGTCAGGTGGGATTGGTGAGTTTGTTTGTTTGTTTACTTAATTGCTTTTGGAGCTAAGTTATTGAAACAACCTAGCTGTTATTTCATCACAGTAAGTTGTAGAACATGGCATGTATCCATGATGTAGTATTTTTTCAGCTTTAGAGAAGTTGTGTCATTGTCAATAGAATGGTCATAACTGAAGATAATGCTATAAAGTTAAATAAATTGGTCAAAGAAAGATAAATATGTTTTCTCTTGTTTGTGAGTTCTGAACTCATAAAAACATTAGGTTATATTTGTACTGATGCCATGAAAATTGAAGGAAAACTCTCTGGGAAATAATGGAGACTAATGGGGAAGGAAAGATTGAGTCATTGAGGAAGACACAGAAAGCCAGATATGTGGAGATGCTCAAAGTACATATACTTGCAGGAGATGACCTGATATTATATTGCATAATGAAACAATGCTTCGGGTGCTTTGCCTTTAAAAAAAACTGTAGTCATTGCTGATTACATAGTGTGCACATGTGTCCTGATAATATGTGTAGTTTCCATGTTTCTATGTCAGAGTTAAATATTTAACAACAATACCAAACCCCTACAGGTACTTATCTACCTTGTGGCAAATTGTTTAGCTGCTTTTTAATCACAAGTTTTCTCATCTGTATTATGGGAATAAGAAAGGCATCATCAAAGCCAGGAGAGATGAAACACACTTGTGGTTCTTATACTACAGAGGGTGAGACAAGAGGGTCATAAGTTCTAGGCTAGTCTATTTTACAGAGTGAGCACAAGATGATCCAAGGTTTCTTAGCAAAAGCCTGACTCAAAATATAAAATCTACTAACAAAAGAGTATGATATCATATACTATAAGATTTAGTCCTACTTGGAATAACGCATCTTGAATGCTTTGTTTTATAGTTAGGAGAAATTCAGTGACAAAAATATGATGGTAATACTATTTTTACATTATGTAGTCAAAGAGGGAGTATAAACTTTATTAGATGTTTTTGCCACAAAACTCCATTTCCATGATAATGGAAGAGATGTGTTATGTATCCTGATATTTAAAAGGCATTCATTGACTTTTGTGACAGGTGCAGGCAGAGTAGAAAAGTCCCTGAAGGTCTCCGTGTTGCTGCTCAAAACACCTCTCCATTTGTTTTCATGCTCAGTGACCTTTCACACCATTTTTTTTATAATACACAATGTCTGAATGACATCTATCAAGAAGTGCATTTTCTTTGACACCACATGCTATATGAGCAAGGAAATATTTCTAGCTTTGACATGGTTGAATCATAAATAGTGTCACAAACACATGTTAACTGAAATGGAAGTATGGAGGTCACAGATTAGGTCGAACAGTTCTGTACAGATTATTATATTTAAAAAAATCCTATGCTATAAAAATTGAAGTCTATAAAAGACTTTTGCAGTAACTTCAAAATAATCCCCATTCTACTCCTAGCCCCAGCCACCAACCTCAGATTCAGGAAAGACACAGTTCTAAAGAACACCTTTCTAAAGGCATCATGAAGGGTCTGGGATAAGTATAACGATTTTCTCCAATCTGTCTTTAGCTATGAGAGAGTAGTTACACATCTAACTGGATGATTTTGAATATTACTGATTTACAGATACCAGTCCCATGCCTAAGGTATAAATAACCATGTAATCCCAACAATAGAAAAATAAAGTCTGGAGGACAAAGTTCAAAACTGAACATACAGTGAATTCCTGGCCAGTTTGGGATATAACCAGACCCATCTCTAAACAAACAAACAAATCCATTCCAAAAATTTTATTTATTGCTTTGAAATAAGTCTACAAAAGACTTTTTCAAACATTTGTATTTGTAGTAAGCAATGATTTGTTTTTGGGGGGGGGATCTCATGTTAAAATTCACAGGTTAGGACTGAAGAGCTGGCTTTTTGGTGAAGTACATGTACTGCTAAAGAAGGATCTGAGTTTGGTTCTCTGTACCTAAACCAGGTCACTCACAACTCCCCTTAAATCTGGCCCCAGAAAGTCTGACACCATCTTCTGGATTTCTTAAGGACCTCTCTCTCTCTCTCTCTCTCTCTCTCTCTCTCTCTCTCTCTCTCTCTCTCTCTCTCTCTCTCTCTCTCTCACACACACACACACACACACACACACACACACACACACACACACACTATTCTGGTAAATTTATTTGATTTTCACACACCAGTTGATAATGATTCCTGCACTGTATCAACCGTGGTTGCTCATTCTGACAGTCTGTAAACATCCTTTGCTCAGTCTTGTGCTTCATACTACTTTACAAACTATTCTTCATCTATTCAATTTTTTCTTAAAAGAGAAGAGCTTCTGTCTTATTCTAGAACCACTACTAGCAGATGTGTAGTAGATTTGTTAAGCTGTTTAACGGGAGTTTAACTTCTCGATTCTGTTGTTAAAGAAAAGGGATGCTGGCAGTTTAGAGGCACACAGAACTGGATCACTCCGGTTTGGGTAGGAGTCATTTCAGAGGAGCCATACTTTGGCTGTCACTGTGTCAGTTCTCAGAATGAATGCATTGCAGCGATTCACATGCCAAACACTTTCTATTCGCTTTTATATTACTGAGGCAATTACATCTTTGTCAGAGAAGACTGCAGAGGGATAAATAATTTCTGAAGCACAAAAACACATGGCTGGGTGGCAGCCTTCTATCGCTCACTTTTTATCTCCAGAGAGAAGTTATTTCCTTGTTAGCTTTCATGTGTACCAGATACATTTAAATATGTCTCAAATTGAAAATTAAATGTAAAAAGTAGAAGACTGAAAAAGAACATAAAAAGAGATGGCTAGCAACTGCTTCCTAAACAAGAACTTTAATTTCACTGATAAGCGTCGAGGATTTTAGATTCAGGTCAGACCCCATCCTGAGAAGTCACAGACTCTTCCCTGGGGGCTATGGGCCACAGTCACATCACTTGAATGAGCATCGACAAACAGCCTTAAATCAGTTCACCTTCTAGATCAAAACAACATGTACAGTCCACCCATGCTAACTTGAGCTAGAATTTCAACATGGGAAAAAGTATGGCCTCAGCCAGGTTATTCCTAACTACACACTGATCAGAGCTGAACTGACAAAGTGTCTGGAGACAAGAATTACTGACTGGAGAACAGAATCTCTGGCTGGGATCTCCTGTCCTGCCGGAAGTTTACTGCAACTGCATGAGAGAACATCTCACGCATAGACAGACTGAGAAAATTGTTTGCACCAGAAGTCAGGAATACATGCTCAGTGGGCTTGTGGTATTCTAGCAAATTGACGTAAGCCAATGTATCAATCTCATTTATTCTACAAAATTAAAAATTTTTAGGTTGTTTTTTTTTCATTCAAACTTCTGCTTCCAAAAGTGTCTGTTCCCTGTTTTAAATTTGTTAATGACTTGTTCTCATTTTCTCTTCTTTGTCTCATATGTATGTATGTAGTGTATATGTATGTGTACATTGTGTATGTATGTGTGCAGTGCATATGTATGTGTGTAGTGTGTATGTATATGTGTAGTGTGTATGTATTGTGTAGTGTGTATGTATGTAGGTGCACGTTTGTATGAGGATCTAAGGTTGGTATTAGTAATTTGCCTCTCTCATTTTTTAAACTTACCATTTGAAGCAGAGACTCCCAATTAAACCCAGAGCTTGCTCTGGCAGCCATCTTGCTCCCAGGATATTCTGCCCAACGACTAGAATTACAGGCAAACAGAAAGGGTGTCTGGCACGCTCGGCATTTATATGTATTCTGGAGATTTGGACTCTTGTCGTCTTCTCCGGTGGCAAGCCCTTCAACCTCTGAGCCACCTTTCCAGCCCATCACTAACAAGTTCTAAAGAGTCATTTTTGGAGGTAGAGAAGGGCATATAAAGGAAACAAATACAACTGGTTCTTTTACTGTTTAATTGCCTCCAAGGACTGACAGAGGATAGAGAGAATATGCTTAAACATACACTTAATAAAGGAAAGAACTTAGAGTAGTCCTAACTGACTCTTTCTTTTAAAGACTTATTTAATGTATATGAGTGCTTTGTTTTCATGCACACCAGAAGTACAGACAGGGAGTCACCATGTAGTTGCTGGTAATTGATCTCAGACCTATGGAAAAGTAGCCCATGTGCTTAACCACTGAGCCCATCTCTCCAGCCCCAGTCATAGCTGATTCTTTAAGAAAAGGATTTACTATGTTCGCAGACTTGTTATTTCCAGATATGCATTAAATCACTCTACAATACTATTATATATTATGTAATTACTTTTCAAAGAGGGGTAGGGAGACTGTGAAAGCCATCACATCTGCTAATGGTGGGGGGAGGGTTTGAATCCAGGCAGAAACTCTAGTTCCATGGTGCTGTTGGTACACTCGGCTATACACATGTGATGTCTGCCCTTGCTTTCAAAGAGTACTTTGTTTTCTATGTGTATATGCTTGCAGCATATGTGATTAAATGTATGCATATGTCATGTGGATGGGTAAGGAGTTCCAAGTTGGGGATAAACATTTTCCTGTATTCCTCTCCATCTTATGCTTTTAATTGGGTCGTCATGTGTATATGTAAGTACATGAAGTATGTGAGAGTGTATTCATAGGGATATTAGAGGGCAACTTCTGTGAACTTGTTCTCCCTTTCCACCTGCAGATTGGATATCAGACTCAGGTCACCAGGCTTTCTC